ACGTCTGGGGCCAGTAAAGAATCAATTCAGAGCGATTTTATCCTGACTAAAGACATATGGCTCTGTCTTTCTTGGCAACTATCAGGTGTTTTTAGGGCTTGTAATTTCTATTAGTGCTACTCTACAAAGTATGCAAAAGGTTACAGCACATACAATAAGGTATTATCCATGCAATTTCACTACTGAGCTGCTGACACTGAATTTCTCAGAGACCGTTTCCATATTTCCTTTGCGTGTTTTCCCTTCCTCCATTTTAAAATTCAGGGATCTGCCAAACACTCTGCCTCTAATCTCCAGTCAATACCATAGTCTGTTTTAAATGGCTTGTCTGGAAAAGAGCAAGCTCACAAAAAGATGTTTGTACTGGCAGCTTGGCAAGGACCTTGTCCCTTGTACCTGGCCGAGTCTGGACCACAGGAATGTGGGAGTTCACATGGAACTAATTGGCACAGATAAACAAGGATTTTTACTAGCAATTCCGAGAGATTTGGTAAATCTGACTTCTTACTAGGAAAAGTAAATGGATCGTGTTGCAGAGATGTTCTCTCTGGGTTGTTTCTTGTACACAGTGAGTGGATATTTTTATAGCTTTTTAGTATGGCATGCCCAAGCAACACAGGATAAAAACTGTATTTTTAAAGCCTGAGAATATCATCTCACAGTGGAGTACATGAGAATACCCTACATTTACTGGATAAATAAGAAACATTACAACTTAGAATGTTTTCCACTGGAAAGCTAGTTTTTTTAAAATATCAAAGATCAAAAAAAAATAGATGGAACCAAACACTGTTGTAATGTATTTATAATTTCATTTCATACATGAAATTTATAATTTCAATTTCTAATAAATTTATCATAAACTAATAATTGTAATGTATTTTATAATGTCAATGAAATTTAGATTTCAATGTCTGTTTTGAGATAAGGCCTAGTAGAAAACTCTCCTGGCCAATCAAAATTCACCTGCAGACTTTTCTACAGGGACACCCAAAAAAATACAAATCATTGTAATAATTTAGACACACACTGGCTCTATGTCATTTGTGCCATGTGCATGGTAACTTTCCCGTGTGATTAGTTTTAAATATGAATCTCATTTAAACTGTATTTACTTCATACAGTATTAAAGCTAAATCCTTATTCTATAGTCTGCAATTTCTAATTCCATAAGGAGGACTAAATGAAAATATTCCTTGTATAGGACTACCAGAGAAGGCCATATTTATAAAGTGAGCACCCCTCCATACCACGTTTAAGGGTAAAAAGTCAAAGTTCCCCAAAGCACAGAGCTAGACAGGGCCATTCTTAAAGGAAATGTAGTCTCTGAAAAAAGCATGATTTTAGCATCAAATGAAATCATTACTTTTCTCCACACAGTGCTTCCCAAAATAAGAAAGTAGTAGGAGGAGAAAAATAAAATGCCATCTTCCAGATTTGACTAAAAATGATCAGTGCAGTATTAGCTAAAGAACCTGCAGTGTTTGAGGTCATTAAATTTCATTTCTCAGTTTGTTTTTACAGCTGAGTGACCATGCTTGATGCCATACAGTGCTTTAAGGATACAATTAAATACTTTTCAGGTGCCATAACTTATCAAAATTATCACAAACTCTTGGTCAATCTCTTAAAACAAAATTGGGTAACAAGTCTGATTATTTTCATAACTTACAATGTCATAAATGGAAGAACAAATGGTTTTACTCAGAGCAATAGAAAAAGTATCACTGAGAGTGAACTCTTTCTCATTTGAACCTATAACTCTATCACACCCATCCCACATGAAGTCTAAACTTATTTCTCAGATAATTTACAAAATGACAGGCCGAAGGCAAACTCCTTTTTTTTGTTTGTTTTTTAAAGAACAAATAAGGAGGTGGGCTCAAGGCAGGGGAAACTTTCACACATCCTGTTAGGTGTAATAACAGAATAAACACCAATAATGATTTATCAGGCAGCAGACTTTGCTGATGACACCGTTGGGTGAGTTTCTGAAATCCTTTCCTAATGAAAGACAGATGGACAAATGAGGAACTTCAGCACACTGCAGGAGAACTCTTAGTTCAAATAAATGTTAAATGGTTCTGTGATTCTGGAAATTAAAAGTCAAATTGGATTTTCCAGCTAACAAAGGTAGCTCTGTTATCTGCCCTCCACAATCCAGAACTGGCTACTGTGCCCCTTCTGCCATTTCAAAACAAACCCACCTGAGGAGGCCAGCTTGTCAAATGCACCCAGCTCACTGAGCTTTGTACTGCTTCAGAATTGCACTGCTGTAGCTGAGAGGGTCTGAAGTTTTTCTTGAAGTAAAATAACTGAATCTGAATTGATTTTAGGAACTTTTCTGTGTTTCAAACACGAACATGCTCCTTCACTGCTGATATTTTTCAAGATCATTTTATTTTCAAATTACCAATTTCAATTCAGCTAAAATGAGTAGTGATTTGTTTAAAAATCAAAAAAAAAAGGCACCCAAAGTGTCTGGATGATGGCAGCTTACTAAACTCCTGTAACATGCACATTTAAACCAATGATTTCTCTACCATATTTTCTGTATTTAGGCTCCTCTCCCTCTTGGGGTGTGAGGCTCAAGTGTATATTGGGGAGAGGCTAGACAGCTTTTGTGTAATGCATAAAGACATGCTGTCTCCTGGATAGGACTTTCCATTCCTCAGCTTTGTCTTTTCCTGCTTGTTCCCATTATTCTTTCCTTCAGCTTTTCTTCCCAATGATTCACTTCCTCTCAGGACTATTCCTCCGACTGACTCCTCACCCAGGCCTGCCTGGCTTTCCATCCAACCAACTCTTCATTGTTTCTTCCACTTAACACCTACTCAATACTTCACAGGTGTTTCCCAAGAGTATTAAAAGGTATTAGCAGGAGAAACAATAGAACCAAACCCCCAAGTACCTCGTACAAGCCGTCTGAGAGAAAAAAATGAGAGAAAAAAAGAAATATTTGTTTGCTTTTTGGTTTCCATTTTTAGTAGAAAATCCCCAGTGTGTAATGAGTGCCTAGGGGATAAAACACGAGCCAGAATTCTTTTAAGTCTCCCCTTCTCTTTTTAAAACTGTGAGATGAAATTATGATATCAAAACACGAAGGCAGAAAAAATGCGGTTCCTATTTTATCCTTTTTGTAAAACAATCGAGTTAAATTATTGGGGCCTTATTTTGAGAACATATCAACTCGTCCTACTCTAAAACTGAAGACAGGAGCTGAGTTATTTCTCCTTTACTCCAGGAGAATAGCTGGGCACTTGTGCACCCCTTCCTAACATCAGTATTTGACACCACTGGCTCACACACAACTTATTTTAAAACAAGTTCTTCATAACTGAAAATAGAATGAAGTATAAAGGAAACAAAGTGTCTCTCTTGCTGTTAGGAAAAAAAACATCTATGGGCCAGCAGACAGCACTTGCTTCCCTCCCCCTGTGCATCACAACAGCCACATTCCTGCCTAAATGCTCCTGCAGGCTTTTTTCAAGCTCATCTTTGCCGTGAAACAGGGTAAATTGGGGATGTGTCAAAGGATTACTCCTTAAAGGCTCCCGGAATGGCAGAGCACATCCCGACCCACAGCAGGCTCCAGACTCACTTCAGCACCAAGTGCAGGTTTGCAGAGAGCCGCGGGTCCGTGAACTGCGTCGTTCTGTTGTTATGGTCAACAAAATAAACCCTGCCCGTCGCTGTATTTCGGATCTCCCATCCAGGAGGCAGTGGACCAAGCTCTTCACAATTGATGTTGCTAAGATCCCTGTGAAAACAAATATAAAATGAAAAATACCTCAGCAATTGGCCTCCGAGCCAAACAAGCGTAAATGTAACAGAACAATTCCATGAAGTCTGAGAAAATGTATTGTCTCAGAAACCTGATCTGTTCAGCTGGAATCTCTGCTCCCAAGGTATGAGCCCACCACAGCAAAAACACACACCCCAGAACACATGCCGTGGGGAAAAAATTCTTATCAAATAGCCCTCATTCTGCAAACCAACTTCAGCTGTTAAATTAATAAAGGCTTCAAACAAAAATAAAGACCATTGCCATATTTGTCAAAATGGAATTGCAGTTCTGCACCAATTCTGACAGAAAACATTTTTTAAAACAACATTAGTCACGTAAGGAGCTGTGAATCACACTTTAGAAACTCATACAAAACAAAACTGTATTTCTGAAGAGTTAGACTTTCCATGAAGAATTACACATGGGATGTGCATGGCACTGGCTGCTTTGCCCCAGAACCCCAGGAGCCTGTGGGAAGCAAACAGCTCTCTAACAAACTATTCAAATCAAGTAGATGAACAATGACTCAGCTCTGCCCTGAGCAATGCAGAGGTGGCTCAATAGGTCTCAAGAAAAATTCTGCTGAAATTAGGAAGGTGTAAATTCATTCCAGAATTTTTTTTCACTGAAAACAAACGCTGGTCTCCAAAAATACACACTGATTATTCATGGATGCAATTCACACCTCAGACCTCTCACACTGTCCAGTGCAGCTCTTCCCAAAGGTGTTCAGCTCTCCCAAAATTATGGGAGCTGAGGGAGGAAAGAGCCAAGGGACAGAATGCCTTAAAAGGTGCAGTCTGCAGGGATTGCAAAGACTCGAGGAGCCACTGATGGAAACATGGAAACAAGCTCTGGGATGGATCTGCTGCTGCTATTCCCCACGAGCACACTGCTGCTGGACTGCAGGGATTACTTGTGCTGGCTACATGGCTGTGGCTATTAGCCTCAAAAATCCAATATTCCTCAGAAATGACATAAATTCTATCCTCACGCAAACAATTCTTGTTCTCAGAGCCACTCCTGCTGTTTGTGCTGCCACACCTCAGGGCAGTGCTGAGTTAGACTGCACGCAGAACTATCTCACCCCAAACTTAAGGATTAGATCTTCATATTATTTTTGTTAGAGCCTGTTTTTGCATAATACACAAGTCACTGACTTCCTACACAGCTGCAGCCTCGGCTGTGCAGGCAGTGCATCAAAGCAAGGTACAAATCTTCCAACAGAAAAATAGTAACAAATTTCAATTTCAAACCTGCCAATTTCAAACCATACAAATCTCACACCACCATTCCAGGACTTTAGGAGGCAAGTGTTTACAAGAGGACTTATTATCATTTACAACAAGATTTCTTGGTTATTTAAAGGACAACCAGAAGCTACTAATAATTTCCACTATCATCCTTTCCTTTCAAACACATCAGCAATAGTCACATGTATTTTCATGAGCAGTATGTACATGGATATTGTGTAAATAAGGACATGGAATTTAATATACTTAGGATTTGTTTTTTTCCAAGTGTTGAGATAATTGCAACAGGAAAAGCAGTTTGACTGCTCCAATTCAACCCAGCTTTCACCAAAGTATCTTGATGGAACTTCTTTTGGAAGTGTTCAGATTCTACTGTTTGTTTCGTTATTTTGCAGAGCACTAAAATCTGGACTTGGCTCTAATTCATATGCAAAATCTAGAATCAGTGAACTGTTCCTGTTTCCAAAACACTACTGTAATTTATTTCCTAGTTTTCAATTTTTTCATTACAATACCAACTTGAAGAACTAGGGAAGACAGTTAATTCATTTTGATGAATGACATGTTAAAATAATGTATTAGGGGCCAAGAATCAGAAATATTAGCCAGGGGCCAAGAATCAGAAATATTAGCCAGAGAAAACTTTGAGGAGAGCACTGCTTAAGTGATTTTGATTTGAAATATTAAGGGTACTTCCATGATTTCTTACCTAGGTACTCTTGGATCGTGCCACGTGCTGACACCAGTTTGAGTATGCAGAAAATAGACCTGACCTTGCTGAGTTGTCCTTTGCTCTGTGAAATCAAGACAAATTAATAAATACAAGAACAAAAAACGCAGCATGAAGACTCACAAAGACCGATCTCCTTCAACCAAGGAATGCAAATACCTCCCACTTGAGAAGACACAACCCATTTTCCCATTTCTTGAGCGCCCCACGAGTGACCCGCCGTGATTTCCATACCGTATCCCTCCGGCAGGTCGGGAGGGGTGTGCAGGTGCGTCCTGCTCATGTAGTTCCTGTGCCTCTGCGAGCGCACCCTCCTCTCGGCCAGCCGCGGATCCGCCGCCTGCCCGCAGGAGGCGCCGTTGGTGCCGCCGATGGGAGTGTTCTCATCCACCAGGCAGCTCAGGGGCCTGCCCGGGCTCGAGTACTCCGAAGCTGGCCTGGGGACAGTGGGACAACCTCAGTGTGGTGGCCATGAGGGACACACAGCACACCTGTGGGGAGCAGCTGCACCCCGGGCTCTGGGGACACCTCAGCTGGAGCAGGAAGCTCCTGGTGTGTGCACACCAGCGGAACCAGGCCCGAGCTCACCGGGCTCAAGTACTCAGACGCTGGCCTGAGGACAGTGGGACAACCTCAGTGTGGTGGCCATGAGGGTCACCTGTGGGGGAGCAGCTATACCATGGGCTCTGGGGACACCTCAGCGACCTGGCCAGCAGGACACCTCGACTGGAGCAGGTCCCTGCTCACCAGAGGAACCAGACCCGTGCTCACTGGGCNCCACCAGCCCAGCAAGGCTGATTTACCCTCAGTAAGGGATGGCTGGGACACTCCTGACACTCCACAGCCACACAGCCAGGCCACAGGGGCTTGGTGGGATGTGCCACCTTCCCCTCCTGCCCAGGACCCTCCTCACAGCAGTCCTACAGACAAAACCCTGGATCTGTGTGCACTGCCTTGGGAAACCTGCACACTGCAGGCTGCTTTACTTCTGCTTTTTTTGTCTGAAGCTTTGCTCTTCAGAGGGAATTGCTTTGTGAGCTTGTTTTTGTTTTCAAAACGTTCAGAGGACAGTTTCAAAACACTCAAGATAAATCAGTGATTGCCAATACTGAATTATTACGGCTGTTTCAAGTTGAGGGAAATGAATTTGTAAGTATGGCTTAGATCCCAAGAATTGCTTGTAGCCCTCTCTTCCTAGACCACAAATTCTGGCCTTAGTTTAGTTCCAAGTGCTTCTTTTTTATTTGTTTTTGAATGAAAACTGATCAACCAATGTCTAAATACATCTCCCCATTGACTGTGGCTTTACTGGCTTTTAAACATCTTAATATTTTCATAAAGATAGAAATGATACTGTCAAGGTTGGCAAACCAAATAATTGAACTAACTGACATGGCTTAAAATTACAGCTGTGATCAGGTTAACACTTCTCCCATTTTTCCTTTTTCAAAAAGCAGAACTTGTTTAATTTCTTTTTCCCATGTGCACTCAGCAACTGACCCAAGAAGCAGAAGACAGAAAAACCTCATGGTTAAAAGTAACCACTGCACATTTACACAAAAACAAAAACAAACCCAAACTTCACATTAAAAAGCCCCCAAGTTTTTTGAATAGTAAACTGATTGTGTAATATAGGTCAGATTTTTGGCCTTACAACCTTGACAATGCCAATTTTGCATAAAGAAACGAGATGAAGATGGGTAATCACGTGCACAGCTGCAGTCTACAATGCTTTATGTACTTCAAATAAATTCTTATGAGAACAATTTAGGCGCACTTAAAAATAAAGACTTATCATGACCTGTCTTGAATTTTCCAGTTTTCCTTGTTGCTTTAAAAAAGTCAAAGGTATATGGTTAAACACAATTTCATAACAGGACAGTTTGAATAATATGTAGAACAGCTGAATACACAAGACAGTTTCCAAGAATTCCTGTAATGTTTCAGGGTGAGGTTCTCAGGGTTGGGATCAACACTCACCATCCACACCAAGCAGGTGGAGTTCCATAATCTACTCTTGATTTTTGCACCCAAAAACCTGGGTTGGTTCACACTTTAAAAGGAAATAAGCAAGACAAGCTGCATTTTTCCAAATAAAAATGTCTAATTTTTGATAAAGGAAGAAAATAAATACTAAGTAACATCTAGTTGGCTTTAGAGCAAAATGTTTCATCTACATCTCTGCATCATTTCAGACATAAAAAAACCCATGGCTGTATTTAGAGAGTGACATTAGGATGAGCTGACATTTCCAATTCATTTGGTGGATAAGTTACATTTGTTTACATCATCTGGCAATAAGGTTCCAACATAAAAGCCTGAGCTAGGAATTTTATTTTTTTATTTAAAAAGTATGTTCCAAAAACTAAAGTGCAACAAACCAAACCAGAAACAAAAAAACCAGAACCCCCCCATTTTGTAGGATAACTCTCCCTTCCTTCTTGTAATTAAAGTTCTTGGAGCTTATATTTCTTTTTTTCCTCTATCCTGTCAGCAATATCTATTCCACAACTTCAGGACTTCAACAGAGACAATGAGATTAGTATTAATGAAGTGGAAACATAGAAATTCAATTGCATAGCCATTTTCTTGACTTTCATATTATCTGAACATTTACAATTAAGACTTTGGTTAAGAACTGCATGTTCAGAAATTTTTATTTCCCTACTCTTAGCACTTCCATTTCCAAGAAAAAAAAAATCAAATTCATGCCCTTAGTGGAAACCTCTAAATTATTTAAATAAAAAATTAGAACACGGGGACAATCGTTATTTTGTCTAGCACTGAGGAAGGTCTGGAATTGAGTGACTTTTCATCCCCATGGCATTACATACACTTTCCCTGAAGAGTTCACCTCACTGAGAAATGTGAAATGAAGAAAGTGGAAAAACATATTCCTGAAAAAACACACCTCTTCCTGATCACAAGCCAGACATACTCCCTCCAGAAAGAGAGAAAAATGCAGCATCACGAGGTATGAGCTCAGGTTTGGGAGCCAGGAATTCCCTATTTCTAATCCATGCTGTCACACAGACTCTTTTTACGACCTGGATGAATTACTTACATTTTTTTTCTCCATTTTCCCATTTCTGACTTTTTTTCTAATATAATCTCAGTATTCTGCTTTGAGCTACCAACTGCTTTCACACTGGGGAGAAGAAGGTGTGAAGAGCCAGAATGAAAAACAGCACCCCAATATTTTTCTCCCATCTTCATTCATTTCCTTCCTGGCATTTCCCTTCTGTGCAGCAACTGAAGGGTGTCTGAGCCTCTGGGATGGTCCCCAGGAGCTGCCAGGGCAGGGATGGGG